CCAAATATCTTTAGAAAATCCAGCTCCAAAATAAATATAATCTTTATCAAGAATTTGTTTTTTATGACCAGGAGAATTCATCCAACTTTTAATTACTTCTTTTTCATTTTCATAGGAATGACCAAGAATTTCTCCCCATATAATTCCATTAATTTTTTTTCGCGCATTAGGAATATGATCATAAATTTTATTTCTTGCAAGATATTCAGCATATTTTTGTGCAGCTTCTACTAATTGACTAACTAAGATTAAAACATATTTATGAAATGTTTAGATTATAATATACTTACTCATTTAATACAAGTTTTTTAATACTGATTTTTGTTCTTTCTTCATTTGTAAATTTAAATAATTGTTTAACATCAATTTTTTCAGTTGCATATTCTCGTCCAAAAATTAATACCCAATGTTTATTTTTAAAAGAGGCACCAAAATGATTGTAGTTTTTATTTAATAAAATTTTTTTATTTTTTTTATTTTTTATTAAAGTATTAAATACTTCATCTTCAGATTTTTTATTATAATATTGAATATCATAATAATAAAAATTTTTAACAATAGTATTTGAATCAAATTCATTTGTTAAAGAAATAGATTCAACATGTTTTTTTGCTACAAATATTAAATGGATATTCCATTCTAATTTTTTAGATTATTTTTATTATGAAATTTGTTCAGTTTATCAAGTAAAGCATCAATCATTTTGTTTAAAATAATTTAAAAAACCAAAAGTTCAATATTTATAATAAATTTATTTTTTTATTTATGTAAACTTAATTATTATATTGAATAGTTAAATTGGAAATTTTTTTTATTGTCATTTAAACAATTAGAATTTAATTTTATTCTAATATTTTTTATTTAATATGTAAATCAAATACAAATTTAAATAAACTATTTGTTATATTTTTCATAAAATTGAGAACTATGACTAGTAGAAAAATAAAAAAATTTATCTTCTTTTTCTTCATTTTCTTCATTAACATTATTATTTGATTTATATATTTGTTTAATATCGGTAGTCATTTCATTAAAGAAATCAGTAAATAGATTATTAAAACTATTTACTAAAAAGATAAAAATAAATTAATCATTTATTTTTTTTTTGAAGCTGTTTTTTCTTTTTTAAATCATTATTATGATTTGAATGACTATTAAAACTAAAACTCATTTGAAAAGTACCATCAGGATTCATTTTCATAGTTCTCATACTTTGGATTTTTTTATCAGTTTCAGTTTTGGTTTCTTTTTTCTTTATGATTTGTTTCTTTTTTTTAGATTCGTCAGTCATTTTCTAAAAAAATATATATTATTTAATTATATAAAATAAAAATTAAATAATAATATAATATTATATATATAGAAAAATTGTTTTGTTCACAATGAAACTTAGATTGAATTTTTTTTAGTTTTATATAATTATGTGTAATATATTTTTTAGAATAAAGATTAATATTTTATTAGTATTATATTTAATATAGATTAATAAATGTTTATAAAAGATCAACTTAAAACTTTAATATTTGAATTAAAAAATGGGTAAAACACGAACAAAACTAAACAGAAATGCTAAAAGATCATCAGTATATGTGAAAGATGTAGAAAAAACAAAGTACGACATGTGATTGATGATGATAATAAATGTAAAAACTGTACAAAAGTTGAAGCAATATGCATCATTCCTGAAAAAACAAAACGAGGTTTAACAAAAAAGGAAAAATTAAAAGAAACAACATAGGTATGAAAATGATATAAAAAATGTGAATGTTTTTCTGATAATG